TCCCTGATGCGTTCCCTTCCAGTACCGATCTGTTCAGAAAGAAACTTACTGTGGAAGAAAACGCCGGGGTATGGTTCATTGAATGCCTCCTGCCACCGCCTCGACTGATTGCGCTGTATCAACTGCACTATCGCTGGTTCTTTCTATCTGTACTCAAAATGGCCAACTTAGCGCCAGTATCATAACAATACTTTGAGGCGCAGATCGGCTTGGTAGGGCATTTTGCTGGCTTCCAGCGACCATTGCCAATGCTTGGAGACCTGTGTCTGTAAAGATATGTATACAAGAGCAAAAAGCTTTCTTTACGCTTGACGAGCAGGGACTAGCAAGAGAAACTAGCGAAAGTACAAAATGCCCCTCCCCCTCACCCCCTAAATCGAACAGCTTCCATTCTTATAGCACATTAATTTTCTGTGCGACAGAATAAATGGAAAGATCAAAGAAGTGAAATCATTCGAGCTATTCTTATGTTCAGGATTTCACAGAAGGTGTCAACTGTAACAAGTGTGTGTTTGGCTACTATCGACAGGAGGGCGTTCAGTGGAACGACACAATGCCTTGCAAACGTTAGTTCATTTCGTTTGAAAGCCGAATGCTTGGCGTGTCCTGACGAGGTTGTCAGCGACAAGGTCAACCTCTGATGACGTCGTCTGTGACAGCAACTGAATCCAAGTTCTTTTCAGCATGCAGATGTGACCCAAGCAAACACACTGGTGACTGTGAGGAAGGTACTGGCAAGTGCTATTGTCAACCTCGGTTCCAAGGCGAGAACTGCGATCAAGTGCGCTCCGGGCTACTACGATCCGCCTGAGTGTAAAAAGTGCGAATGTACAGTAGGCGGTACCCTGGACGGAACTTGTCTGGTACGTTCGTAGACCTTAAGTTGATCTTTAAGAAGTCTAGCCCTGTAGAGGAGCTGTTCATCCTATCAGATTCATCGTTTGTTAGTCCAGCACGGTTTTTCAGCCTGAGAATGGTCAATGCCCTTGCAAACCTGGATTTGGCGGAACATTCTGTGAGACGTGTGAACCTGGCTTTACTAACGTCACAGCTGGTTGCAAAGGTATGAAATTCTTTTTTCTCAGGACATGAATACACAAAAAGCAGATCTAACCTACAAAGCAGAAAGGCTGATTTGGCCGATCTCCAGAGTCGATTAATGGATCTCCCCCGTCATCCGCCCCCTTGAAGTTCCCTAAATAAGGATGTTGGACTGCTCATAGTTACTTGAAAACAACTCAATGCGTCATAGGAGATCTACTCTTCGCGCCGCCCCCCAGCTTTCCTTAACTACTGCATGGGCGTGGATGCGCCTCGCAACTGGACGCCCCCTCCGCAGCCCGGCTCTTTGGTTCTTTCTGGTCTTTTTCTGACACGGTAAAGCGTAGGAAGCGCCAATGAGCTATGCGCTATGCTATGCCTGACTGCGCCAAACCCTTATAGTGTCTTGTCCCAATGTACTACATTGACACGAAAATGAGCGAAAAATGAGCAGCCCCGTATGAAAGGCGGGCCAAGTCCACTCGTGAGCTAGCCTAAAAGGCTCCACCGGCCCGCGGAAGCGAGCGAGTCGCGCTGGCTGGTGTTAACATGCGCCGCAATCTTGTACGGTATTCACAGTCCCTAGTCGCTCTGGAGCAAGGAATCTGCCTCTTGCTTCCACGCGTGTGTTCTCTAAGAGTAGCGAACTGAAACCACGATCCTTTCAAACATATCTAGACGTTCGTTAGGTCTATAAGGGCAAGCAGCACTCGTATCGCGAATAGTCTGCGGCTGTCGCAGGTCTTTCGCGGTCGCACCCACCACTCCACGTGGCACCCACATGCGAGATCGCGCGCGTACTGCCAATCGGAGCCTTGTAAAGCGAACGCAGAAAAACCTCCAGATCCAATATTTATAATTACAGTTGCTTTAAGAATGCGTTTGCTCAGTGCAGACCGGACTCCGACACACCGCTCGAATGTTTCGGCAAACGACCTGGGCGCAGTGCGTTTGTAAACAGTCGTTCCAGTGGCACTGCATTGTGACAAGCTTGCCCAAACTGGGCCTTCTAAATGGATTTCGAACTGCACATGTGAGTAGTACACGAGCCTACACCAGGCTGTTACCAAATCTCTGAAAATAATACAACAATTCCTAGTCTGCAATTGCGACCCCTACGCTGCTCGGACAACGGAAGATCGCATATGTGATCAACACCTCTGGCCAATGTATGTGCAAAGATGGATTTGTTGGCGAGAAATGTGATCAGTGCGATATTGGCTACTATGGATATCCTAATTGTAAAGGTGAGAACTTACTAATGACTCAGTTTGAAGTTGGCGCTTATAAATACTCAGTAAAGGTGCAGTTCTCGATGACCATGGGGCGGAGTCAGACCAGTCGCTGTACTTCACTTGTTGGCATGCCTTTCCTGTTTCCTAGTTACCTTCTCAAAAAGGATGGCCCACCTACGGGTGAAGCACACGAGCAGGCCTGACTCCGCTTAGCGTGGACTGTGCCTCAATCCACTACTATTATTTTGGGGTCACCATTTGAAGTCGAGTTTCAGGTGCATGGCGCATCTGAGCGGTGAACTGCTGGATCAAGTCTTTCAAGATAGTTTTCTGTCCTGTTTTCAGAATGCAATTGTATGGGACCTGGTTCCAAGGCCTTGGAATGTGACGCCACGACTGGCCAATGCCCGTGTTATGCCAACTTCACTGCCAGGACGTGTGACAAATGTGCAGTGGGCTTCTATGACTACCCAAATTGTAAAGTAAGTATCTTCAAGTTGTTTTGACAAGATATCGACTGACCGGCCCATCGTGTGAAACGTGTGATGAATTATGGCTGTCGCATAGAAACCACTGAAGTGGGAGGGAAAGGAGCGACCCTGGGAAGAATACAGTACTTACCTCGGAAAGCGTCAGGCGTGGGTTTCAGCCCTGCCTAGGGTCGAGACTTTTGTCCATAATTCAGAATTCTTGTGATAAGTGTCTTCACATTCCACATCAATCGCACGGATGGGGTTAGGCTCTCTGTGGTGCTTCTCTTGGATGCATTACTCTTTTATGAAAACGCAAAATGCGAGAGACACACCAATGACGAGCGCGCAGTAGTCCGAATAAGCCCGCCCCTAAGACGAGCGCGGAAAGTGCTTTTAAATTCAAAATCTTCTTAAAACTCCCAAGGATGCAAAAGCTCTGAGTAATCGCTCTAATAAACTGGGATGGAGGGCTTTTTGCAACTAAACGCGTTGAAAGCAGTGGGCTGGGAGCGGCCGGTTACTGCCAACGCCATTGGTGGAAGTTATCCAAGAGAACGTTCGGTTACTCTCCACTAAGCCTTTCTACCAATGACGTTGGCAGCAGCTGCCTGCCATCGTGCCCACTGCCTTCAAGGCCGGAATTATAGGAACTCTTGAATTTTTCTTACTTTCTATTGCTCTATTTTCTTGGATTCTAGGCGTGCAGCTGTCTTATCGACGGCGCCAAAGGACAGGCGTGTGACAGCAAGGGTCAGTGCTACTGCAAGGGCAATTTCGAGGTATAGTCTAAGCACTTTGTTTTCTTTGCATTTTCATCTGCAATGCCAATCACTGAAAATTGTTCATGATTTCTAATTAGGGAGAACGATGTGATCGATGCAAGCCAAATTTCTACAACTTCCCCGCCTGTGAAGAGTGCAATTGCCATCCAGCTGGAGTGACCCCAGATTTTGCAGGATGCGACAAGGTCTTTCATGATATCCAATAGTTTTCCCCGTTTTTTCTTTGCTCTTGCACA